TGCGAAATAGACCTAAAAAACAAACTCAAGACGTTGAAAAACATCAGAATAGGTGTTTCCAAAAAAATTAACAGTCGGCCAACGACGGTTAATAGCTAGTCAACGGTCAATGCCTTGGCTCGGCTCAGACCGACCCAACCGGTTCAGACCGGTTTAACCGATCAATAGCCACCTGATTGGTAGACGATGCCCACGCGCAGGGAGCGACGCATGTGGCGGCTATGGTCGTCGGTTCGACGTGAATTTTTCCTGATTTGAAGCACAAAGCTTAATAAGTCGCTTGTCGATGTCCTTTTCTAATGAAGAACGCCGGATGATAGTTTTCACGAACTTCCAAAACATCTCCTCGCTTACCCCTCTCGACGGGGATGGTAGAGTCAACGCCATCGGTACCAATAGAAGCGAAACTTTAAGCTGGTTCACTTGGTGCAGGCAGTGAGACTCACCGATGGTTGGACGGTGACGAAACTACAAAAAAAAAACAACAGAGGACGCTTGGTTTCCCGACGAGCATTCGAACGACAATTCACGTTAAACGGTGACATCTGACGGTTAGGGGCTAGATGGGTTCTGGTCGTTGGAGGTCGCCGATCACTCTGGTCGGGCAGTGACAACCCCGACGATCAGACGACGGAGAATCAAGAAGGGTCGGCAGGGAGTGGCTAGAGATTGGGGTTGGAAAATTTGGGGATTTTGGGTGCTCTTCTAAACTTAACAAATAACATTTATATTAAATAAAAATATCCGAAACAGTACCTTAGCCTAAACGACTAGGGCATGGGCGGCCATCCTGGGGACAGGGGTTTGAAATCTTGCCACCAACTTTATTTTTTTAACTGACCAAAAAAATGTGAAAAATTCAGGATTAAGTCCATGAACTTCCTACATCTTCTAAACCGGGCTATAAATTTTTTAAAACTTACAATTTAGTCCCCAAATTAGGCAATTAATTTATATTTTTTTTAAAAAAAATAGGGTTGTGACAATCATCATGTTAACGTCTAACTTACACAACCATCAAATTTTTAAAGGAAAAGGATGAGTTTGGAACTTAATGAATAGTTGGGTGACAATTTTGTAACTTTTAATAATAGATGGACTTAATAAAATAACATTCTATAGTCAAATAACCATTTCATAATTTTTAATATTCAAATGACTTAACAAAATAATATTCTATGGTCATGAGATAATTTGTGTACTTTACCCAATAAAATATTATAATAACAGAAGACAGAGATGAAAGATTGCTATTGGCTCTGCATGAGTTGGTCTCCTTTCATCATAGGCCGTTGGATTGACGTTTCGGGGTCCCCAAGGGTTCGATCAAAGGCTTAAAATGAAAATTATGTAACACTAGTACCCTCACAAAGAAAAGTGGAAAAGCTTAAACATAAAAGAGACAAGGACAGAAACCGTAATTAGACTGCCTCATTTCCATCTACAATTTTTCTATTTTTATTTTCTTTTAAACAATTGGCAAGAAACCCTAATTTCATGACAGCGTGCTCGTGGTATAAATAGTTAGGGTTCTTAGAAAACAATTATTAAGAATTAATGAAAACACACACCGCAGTGGACGCTGCACTGTCTTAATGCAGGCATCTTGCCAAATATCCATGTTATTATTTTAAACTCTTAAACATCCGTTGGTTTGACCGGAAAAAAACGAAGACATATCTAGGGGAGATCATTTGATCGGTATCTATTCAAAGATAAACTCTCAACCATTTAATATTGAATGTTCATATCTCTAATATTCTTGGTGCTCGAACCCGAATACCAAAGAATAACAACAATAATATAAACACCCATGTGCATGTAATCACAATGATGAGAAGGGCCTCCTGAAGGTGGCATTCACGTGGTTAGTCGACCTAATCAGAATTTAGAAGCACCGTCCTCCATGGATCCATCTTTCCCCTTCTCCTTATAGCTTCTGCCTTCAATGTTTGAGCTAGTGCCACCCACAATGATTGGCTTTCACTCTATCGTAAATAATACCATACCTTACATATACCTTTCTCTTTATATTAAAAAAAAACTGAAACAATAATTTATTAATTGATCTCAATAGTTAAATATGACATTTTCTCTAAAGATTATGGGTCCAAATTATCAATATTAAAAAAAAATTGAACAAATATTACCTTGTAAACACCCAAAATTATTAAAATATTGAAAAAGGTTAAATATTAAAAATCATTCTCTATATTATATCAATTCAAACAAGAAAAATAATTTAAACACGTCATTGAGGTTACATTAAAAATGGATTGTTTTCATGTATGGTTATTACTAAAGATAAACGAAACCATTTGTGTCTCTTTCGAAGCTTTGGAACAAAGCACACGGCAAAATTGCCAAAAGCTTAGAGATAAAGTACGGTGTGACAATGAAATGTCACATTGGTGTTAGTTTTTGAATAATCTATGATTTAAAAATTATGATCGGTTAGTAAAATCAGAAATTAATACATAAAAGTTTTAAAAAGTTAAATGAAAAATGAGGTATATTTTGATTCTCTATTGATTTTAGAAACCACTAGTAGTTGTAGATCGTTTCTACACCTTTAGAAGTAACGCATATACTAAAATAAAAGAGATGGTGAAGCATGAAAGCACAAGTTCAAACCCTAATAACTACTCCATCCTTGCCTCCATATTGTCTAATATATTATATACTTTTGTTAACAAAGAATCAAATACTTTAAAATTGGTCGATAAATGATTTTTTATTGGGTAAATTACAAGTTTGATACCTAAACTATCAATTTTAATCTATTTTAATACCTAAACTTTCAGTTCTTTCAAAACCATTCCTAAAGTTTAGTTTTTGTTTCATTTTAGTACCCCACCGATAAAAACTTTAGTTTTTGTTTCATTTTAGTACACTCGTTTAAAATTTAACGTTAAGTTTTGAAAAAATTAAAAGTTTAGGTACTAGAATGGACCAAAACTGATAGTTTATGTAGTAAACGTATTAACGCCAGATACTAAAATAAAATGAAAACTAAATGTTAGATATGATTTCAAAAAAATTAAAAGTTTAGGTACTAAAACAAATCAAGATTGATAATTTAGGTACTAAAATAAATCAAGATTGATAGTTTAGGTACTAAATTCGTAGTTTATCCTATTATATTTTGTTGTTCTTCTTGCAAGATAAAAGATAAGGGAAGGGGAATCTGAATTACTCTCACTTTCTGAAAATAAAGGCCTAAAGTTGACTTGGTAAAACCATTGACGAATATTGGGAGATTTTATTTATTTACTTTTCAACAGATAGGGCGGTGGTAATAACTTTTGTAAACACTGTACAATACGCAGCTAAATGTCGGCAATATTTGTCGCACGATAAAACGAGAATTTTGTCTGGAATCAAATTCATATTGATATTTTATCAGACCAGATCTGTAGTACACAACTTCCTTTCTTTTCGACCGATATTATTCACAGCAAAATTTACTTGGTTTACCAGAAACAAATAATGGTAGGCCTAAGTCCTCGATGCCAATGGTTTCATCAAGATGAGACAATCAAAGATTTCAGCCCACATGGTCCAGGGTTAGCTCTAGCTCAAATTTCCCGTCACAATCCTAGGGACTTACGAGTCTAATTTAAATTCAGGCCATGTGCATATAGTTCATCCTCTCACTAGAGCAATAAAGAGCCATAACATTGCAGGAATCTGGAAACTAAAAACAACACTGAAACTCCAAGGCAAACCAGATGCAGCAATTTACTCTTTATTTGAGTAAATCAAATCAAAGAAAGTTCTCTCAGATGCTGAACGCCTAGTTTAGATTCTATAAGGAGAGAAGAAAGTAAAAGCTGAAGCATAGAGACACACACATTTTTACAATAAATGGGCTCACCATATTCTTCTTTACTACTCAATACTCATCCGAGCCGGATTCACCATATTCATTGTTAAATAGAAGGATTCAAAATCAATGCAGTACCTCCTTCCATGCCTATAAGAGAAATCCCTTCAGTTGCATATTTTTTAATAGCTACGCTAAGTTCCCTGGTTTTGAAGAAAAATCTAAACACAGTATACAAAGTCATACATGAAGAATGAAACTCAGAGCAATTAATGACCTAGTATCAACCACACAAAAGCCAAGAGTTAGATACCACGAGCGTCTCTACTAAAGAAAGGACTTGGTTTCCACAATTCCGTCCTTTCTACACATACTGCATTCAATATATTTACGTTACTGTCTGCGGGAAGACTAGCTTCTAAAAGTAATGTTCCTTTGAACCCCCACCTCCTCAGAGAAACATCTGCCTAGCTTCTACTGTGATCTCTATTGCTAAAGAAATGAGATATATAAACAGAACTGCTCGGTTGATTTGAAGAACAAGTTCTCTGTTAGGTTAGGAATCATACTACGGTATGTGCTAATTCTATGAATATAATTATATTTATCAAGATTATCAAAGTGGGAAAAAATATATATCTATAGCTAAATTTAAAAATTACATGCTTCTGACATAATTAAAAGTAAAAACAGTAATCGACACCAATATTTCAGACTAACAAAGGGGAAAAAATGGGGAAAATAGAATAACGTATGAATTGGCAAGTCAATCAAGTGGAGAAACTGGCATCATCCAGCTGAATAAAAGAAACTAAAAACAATAAAGGATTCCAAAGATTGTAAATAAGAAAAATTCTGGGAGTATATAGTTCATCCATTGTAATGATCAATGTAATCAGTACTTCAGCCAACATCTAAGATAACCACCTCCAGAACTTATTTCCTCCCACAAGACAATTCCAAGAAAATTAAGGGAGAAGAAACTCATATGACTAGTTCTGTGTTCTTTAAAAAACTTCAGCAAACTCTAATGGAAACCTACCAATGTGTTGGAACTTCAAATTGTTAAACCTATTCCTGTGCTACATGATGCCAGCCTTTGCAAGTTCTCTTCTTGCTGAAAACAGGGGAAGAGACAATTTAATGGAAGAAATTTGAATGAGGTGCGGCAAAGGAAATAAAAACTCAAGACATCCTATCAATAAAACGTTCTGTTGAATCTTGAGTTATCTGAAACTCTTCCTCATCATCTCCCATCCCAAAGGGAACAGATGTAAAAATGAAAGAAGGGGAAATTACCACTAGTATAATTTGGAGTTCTGTGTTGAAGGAAAAAAAACAACCATGAAAACCCTGGTGGCAGTGCAACAGAGTTCAACTGCACAAGATGCCACCAAAATCCATCTCTCAGCACCCCATCACAGCACAATTATACACAAAGTTACCCAACTGTTTTCTGGCAAGCAAGTTCCATTGTGGAGGGCCTTCACTCGGAACCCAAGAATTGAGCTCAATAAAACCTTCACCCAAAGCCCTAGGGCCACCAATCACTATAAGGCGATCTCCACTTGCTCTGAAAGCAAGACCCCAACCGTTCATTGAAACTGCCCTTTCAGGCAATCTTCCAATAGTCAACCATGAGTTAGCTTCCTTATCATACTTCCTCACCTCCATGTCAGCATGATCAGCAGCATACAGTTCATTATTAACTACTGCAACCAGAGGAGGTGCCACAGCTGCTGCAGCCATCTCAGCCGCAGCTCCATTCCTTCCAGGAGACATGTTAGGAATTTCAGTCCACTTTTTTGTCTCTAAATCATACTCCTCGCCACAAGTGAGAACCCGAAGATCATTCCCAACTCCACCTATTCCTCCGATCACATAAAATTTCTTATCCATAAATACCCCACTACACATCTTCCTTGGCTTATTCATGCTTGGCAAAGTCTCCCATTTCTGAGTCTCAGAATTGTACATTTCTGCACAGCTCAGGATCTTACCCTGAGAATCACAACCACCAGCTAAAATAGCAATCTCTCCAAGACTAGCTGATCCAAACAAGCACCTCGGAGCATTCATACTGGTCCCAGAAGTCCACGAATTTGTTAAAATACTATATCTATATATAACCTGAGAAGTTACCTCCTTCCCGAAGACAAGCAACTCAGTTCCCACAGCCAATGATTCCTTATCTGAAAAGGTAAAACATTCATTGGGAGGCATCCTTGGCAAATGCATCCACCTATGTCTAATAGGATCAAATGCCTCCCATTGAAGGAGGTGACAAGAAAAGTAAACCCAATGCTCAACAACGCCGTTCTGCCTCCTCAACTTATAGATCTCTCCACTCCTGATCAAGGATCGAAAACTCCAATTCAACATGGCAATGGAACCATAATCAGACCTCGAGCACTTAATCAGACAACTGATGGAGTTATCTCGCCCTATTGATTGGATTAATGCGTCTGAGCCAGATGAAGAATCCCCAGCATGTCTACTGTGACCATCCTCCTCTGGAGAATTAAAGAAGCCGTTATCATCATTATCCTGCCCAATTGGTTGAACTAATGCATCCAAGTCAGATGAAGATCCCCCAGCATGTCTACTGTGACCATCCTCCTCTGGAGAATTAAAGAAGCCGTTATCATCATTATCCTGCTCAATTGGTTGAACTAATGCATCCAAGTCAGATGAAGATCCCCCAGCATGTATGTGACGACCACCTTCCTCTAGAGAATAAGAGAAGCCATTATCATCATTATCGTCGTGATCATCCTCAGATTGCTCCTCCAGCGACTCCACCACGAAATCTGACAGGCTGTCATTGTCTGATTGGCTGTCCAAATCCGGTTTGCCTAGACCAATAGGACAGTGGTGGATAAGTGAAGAATCCATATCTGTGGAAGAATCGGATCTCTTACTACCATCATCCGATTGGTCAGGCGAATCCGGCAAGACAAGGTCACCTGAATCTTGTGGGGAAGAAGTGTTGGGATTATAACTATCGTCACTGGAAGAATCATCAGAAGAGAGCTTACACAACTTGGTTTCCCGATCACCATCTGAACCAGTGAATTCCAGTGGGCGCTTCCCATCGTACATGTAAGCCCACTTTCTTCCTTGTTGACAAGAGCTTGCAAACACTAAACAGGACTCGCAGCACCGGTCCTCCAACATGACTCTTTTGTCCCCCTCCTGATTTGGGACAGGAAAATCCCCAAAATAACAATGGGAATTTTCAAATCACTGTAACAACCAAAAGTTTCATCACCCCCGCCGAAATAAACGCAGTCAAGATTAACGAATTTATCTGTTCCAGAAAACAGGGAGAAACAGAGAACAGAAAGAACAGCTTCAGTGTAAATTTCTAAATTATAAAACAAATCAAACATAAACTTAATCCAATAAATAAAACATCCAAATTCAGGTTAAAAACTGACCTATGTTAGGTTATGCAAAAAAATAAATAGTCAAAAACAATAATTAACGTATGCAAATTTTGTTAAAGCAGGAAAAAACCGAATTCACGATCAAACACAGCTTAAGAGAAATAGGTACCAGATCTCAGAATTTCATTGAACACAAACAATAACAAAATAATAATAATAACAGTCAGATTCAAATGAAGAGAAGAAACAAAATCTAATCAGATCTGTTTATAATTTCATCTCATTAATCAGGAGATAAACACCAAGCGGTAAATAAAATAGAAACATAAAAATGAAAACAACAAAAGCAAAGAAGTGACTGATAAAGAAAACGAAGCAGGAATAATAATACTAATGTTGTGAGGGACTTACTGATTGGATAAGGAGAAGATTAGCAAGGAAAAAAGAATTCAAATGAATCTCTTTTTGCCAAACAATTACTACACTAGCTCACTCTTTTTCTTTTTCTTTCCTCACTTGTTCATTTGATTTGCTGTTGCTGTTTTTTCGTTTGACTCTTTTATCTCCTCCTGTTTCTCTATAGGCTGTTTATTAGTCCTTTGGATTTTGTCCGCAAATCAGAGCGAGGGAGCTTTGGCTTTGGCTTTGAGAGCAAAATCTATAAGAGTTCCCCTTTATCTCTCTTAGAACTTGCTCTCTCCCCAAACAAAATAAATAAACATTTCATTTCTTTTATTTAATTAACAAAAGTATTTATTTTCCCGTTCTGTTTGTTTATGGAGTCGAATTATATAAGAGATAGAATGGGAAGGGGCTGCCGAGGAGGGGACTGGAGGGGCGGGGGCGCCGGCGATGTGGTGGTGGTGGGGCCCATATAGGGGAATGAACAACCGCTAACTAGTAAGCTCCGGCCGAGACACTTGTTGACTAGTGTGATTACGATGATGAGGTGATGGAATAAAAACCCTCCCTCTCCTCTGTTTCCTACTTTCTTTTTACATTTTTTGTATAAATAACAATTAATTTTATTACATAAAAGTATAATAAAAATTTATAATTAATCACATTAATTGATTATTTCTTTAAGATTATTAAAATATAAAATAAAATCATATAAATAAAAAGATTAAGCCACAATCAAATAATTTAAAGACATAAATAAAAAATATTATTGACGATGAACAATAAACGATAGTAACATTAACATAAGATAGATATAATAGTGAAAACACATTAATAAATTAGTTTTATCACAATTCAATCATAATCTATCTTTAATAATTGTAAATATTTATCAATGTAAAAAATAATTAGAAGAATCCAAGGTAAAAATAGATCAATGAATTAACTAAAAAACATTCATCAGAGAAGATTTCAAATATAACCATGAGAAAACAAAAAGTAAATTTGCTATAAGAATAATATAGTAAAAAAGAAAAACAATTAAAGCTTCAATGACTCATTAATGGAAGATAACAATTATTTTAACGGATGACTTGAAAATAATTATAAAATAAAATGTTAAACATATGTTTTGACAAAAATAATAATAATTAAACACCAAAAGAAAAAAAAAACCCAATATAGTTCATGTATTTATTTCATAATAAAACCATAAATTACATATATAACAACAAGTACGATAAAAGTTATGATAAAATTCGGAGAATCAAAGAATGAAGAGAGAAGAGGAAAAAGTATTGAAAAAACAACGATCAATATATTTATATTATTGTAATGATAAAAGAATATAGAAAACTTAAGAAGAAATGTTGTGAGAAAAAAGAAAAGACGAATAATTAGTATGATTTATAGATTTTAATATAATTATATGGAATTTATCATGTTTTTTTGCTTCGATAAATAATACTTTTTTTATGTAAAACTTGAAGACCCTACGCCTTTAACAGTAAACGAGTATAGATTTGTGGGTTTTGCATCGTATCCCTTTTAATTAATTAAGATGGGATGAGTATAAGTTTAGTGAATAGTGGACGGGTGTAGATATAAAAAATCATATATGTTGTGGTTAATGGGTAGCTGATGGTTTGGGACTTTATCTGCCCTGTATCTAAGGACGAAGTTAGGATTTCAACTTGAGGGGCAAAATATAATTTTCTAAAATTTGAGGGTAATTTCATAATGATCCCATAAAATATTTAAATTTTATATATAAATTAAAGGTTAGAAAACAAACTTTTGGCTGGGTGGGAGGGGGTTTTGTCCCTGCTCGTATATGTCCACCCCGTATTTGTCCGCCTACTAACTATCCACCTTATAAATTTTATGTCATTATGAATTTAGATATAATTTTAGAGACTATTATGTAAATCTTAAGATTTTATAGGACATGACTTGTAATTTAATCAAATGTTAATGTATAAATATTTTTAGAATTGAAGACCGTTATTTTTCCTATATCAAATTGACGTTTATAGACGGGTACAAGTAGGTACAGACAGATATGAGATGAGTGATAGATATCCAATTATATATTGGTGTAAGGATGAATTTGAGAATGTGTCAAAATGGGCGGATTGTGGATGATAGATAGATAAAGAATATGAAAATATTAGGAAGTATAGGAACGGGGAAGGAGTATCTGCACTTGCTTAGCCAGTATAAATTCTGTGTTGTCGGCTTCCGTTAGTTAGTGGAGTTTTGATTCCGCGCGGCTTCGCTATGAACAATCGTTATTTAATAAAGAAAACACTATAATAGTGACTAAGAATCATACTTATCCTTCTCCACCTTAATTCTCCACGTACTTGCTTTGCTTCAAATTATTAATTAACTAATGTAAATGTAAATGTAAATGTAAATGTAGGAAGAGAAGATTCTTAATAATCATTCGACTTATACACATTCATAATTCCATCATAATAATTTTATAGCTAATAGATAGGCTTACTCTCCTTCAAGTATATTCATTACTCTTTTTTGGTTTTTCATTCCCTAAATCTATCGATATTTCCATTATTTGTACCATTTTTACCATATTTAGATTTTTCATATTATCTAAAATTTTAATAAATCGATTATTATATTAGTATAATATTAAAACATTATTATATAGTATGGGAAAATGAAACCCCCATACTTTAAAGGTGGATATCTGCATATAACTTAAAGAAGAGGACTTGATAGCAATAATAAGAAAGTAAAACACTAGTAAACATGGCCACATGCAAACATGATGTTTAAATGTTTTACGTAGAATACACATAAATAATATAATTAAAAAATATATGTTCATTTTAAAAGGAAATATAAAAAAATCTTAAAGCAAGCAACTCCACTATGACTCAAAAAACCCACAAAAAATAAAAATAAAAATTAAAAAGATTCTGGCGTGCACTAAGCTTATAATAATCCCCTCGGCCTTCCTTTCATTAACTGAGGCAACCTCTACGTCCTATAAGGTTCCGCCACGTGTTGATCACTTGTGTAAAGGAGCGTGCTCATGTGAAGCATTATTGGAGGGTGAGAAAGGTGTTTAGACGAGCAATTGCAAATCACGAAAAACACCAAAAACTTTTCATTCTAGAATACCGTTGGGTGATATATTTAAAGCATCAAATATTTATTAATAAACTACATTGTATTATATGTTGATTCAATTTTTTTTATGAGAAAATAATCTCAGTGACTAAAAATCCCATATAATATACGATTTTAACCAATTTTTTCCGGATTTGCCAAAATGACCAACAAAATCGCAATGTGATCGCTAATTCGCAACGCGATCTCCATTATCGCAAATTCGCGTTGCATTTTCGCAAAGCGATAGTTGAAAATCGCTTTGCGATGGTCTACAGTGTCGTTGCGATTTTCCCAATTCGCAATGCGAATAAGTAAATCGCAACGCGAATTGGGAAAATCGCAATACGAATAAGTAAATCGCAACGCGAATTGGGAAAATCGCAATGCTATACTGACTATCGCAATGCGATAATACAAAATCGCAACGAGATACTTACTTTCGCAACGCGATACTGACTTTCGCAACGTGATAATACATAATCGCAATGCGATTTTCAAAGCGCCATTAGTATCCTGGCCAAATATTTTATTTTTAAATTCCAAACACGAATATTAATATATTGGAACACTGAACCGTCCACAGTATATCCCGTAATCGCAACTCATAACCTAAAACCTAAAATCACAACTCAGTCCCATCTCCATCTCTCACTCTCTCACCCATCTCCGACGAAATCCGTCCCCATCTCCGGTGAAATCCGTCTATCTCCATCTCTCAGAGCCACCCTCACAATCAGAAATGGAAAATCAACCAACGAGGGTTAGTTTTTTTAATTATTTTCTTTTTGAAATTTTTGCATTATTATTAGGTTTTTCATATTGAAATTGATGATAAGTTTACTGGTAATTTCAATAATAGATTAACCATTTCACTTAGATTGCTTATTAAATCAACCGAGAATCGCAACGCGAAATGCAAATCGCAACGCAATTTTAGTTTCGCGTTGCGATTCTCTCGTTGCGATAGTCAAATTCGCGTTGCGATAGTCATTTTCGTGTTGCGATTTTCATTTTCAGAAACTATTCTTCTTCTGCAAATTGAAACTTGAATGAATTGCATTACTTCAACCAAAAACAAAGACAAATACGAAATTCACAGTGTTGCAAATTTAAGTTTGAAGAATAAACTACTACTCTTTGTTTATTATTGTTTTTGGTATATCTTCACAGTGTAGTTTTTGGTATATCTAATTTAGTATGTTTATTGTTTTTGTAGAACTTTTATTTGGCTCAATTGACCTTGAGAAATAAAGTCAGCCTGGCCAAAACAATTGTGTCGAAGCTTTCACCTGCACAAAGAAAAATGTTTGAGGATACATGCTTCGGGCCATGGCTGAAAGTACAACATCCCGGTGGAGATACGATGTTGACACACCTGTTTCTTCAAACCATGACTAGCGATCTACCAGAGACTATACAACGTCGTGATGAAGAGATATGGTTTGATTTTCCACCGGCGTATACGTGTTTTGGGCGGGAGGAGTTTTGCTTAATCACCGGTCTACGCTTCGGACACGATGATGTAGGTCGGTACACTAGACACATTACCCGCCCATCATGGCTATCCCGGGTTTTTCCTGAGCTGGAGAGGCCGAGTCTACACGTAGAAGACCTGACAAGATTGTTGAATAATAAAGACGGTTTTACTCGGATGGATGACGTCGACGTTGTCCGAGTATGCCTTCTAATTCTTTTGCATGCCGGCTTTTTAGGCAGAGAGGCCAGACAACCTATTCCAAATGATCTAATCAAATTGGTAGAAGACCTAAATACGTGGAACCTGTTTCCGTGGGGCTCGTATTTATGGAAAGCTACATAGAATAAGTTATCGTCTGCCTTGGATGATCGAAAAAGTTTGCATGGCGATGGTTCCAAATACACTTTGACAGGCTTTATTTGGGCCTTTAAGGTAAGAATTTTATATGATGTTTCCAAAATTATAAGTAATTATTTAACAATTACTAATGTTTGTTATTATATTGTTTGTAGATTTGGATATTTGAGGCCTTTCCCGCCATGAAGACATATGCAATAAAAACTTCAAATGATATTCCCAGGGCTATTTCATGGAAGAGGAAACGGACCTTGCAATGGGAAGATTTACTACGGTATACGACAATAAATAATGTAAGTTAACATAAATACTACCATATGTTTATAAACAAGTTATTACTAGTACACGTTTAACTTTGTTTGAGCTTTTACATTGTTAGGAGGCCAACACTC